TATCAAAATAGATTGCAATTTATCATGGCACTACCACTTCCTTTTTTATCAAAAATCGACTGCACCAAAATTTCTCGAGAAAACTCTTTTTCTTATTAATTTTGGTGCGTATAATCCAAAACAATTCGTACTTTTACGATCAGACTTCTCAATCAAAAGTTATAGACTAGAAACCAATTTCGAAAGAAAATTCAAAGGGCTGTAACTTTTGAACTAGTAGCCCAATCTTGGAACTGTTCGATATTATGGATTCTACAGGCCACATTCTATAAGAAAATTTTTATCCGGGTCGATCTGGGACAATTTTTTTTCGGGGCTCAAAAAAAAGCAGGTTATAACCTTCCTTTTTTACCAAAAATCGACTGCACCAAAATTTCTCGAGAAAACTCTTTTTCTTATTAATTTTGGTGCGTAGAATCCAAAACAATTCGTACTTTTTCGATCAGACTTCTCAATCAAAAGTTATAGACTAGAAACCAATTTCGAAAAAAAATTCAAAGGGCTGTAACTTTTGAACTAGTAGCCCAATCTTGGAACTGTTTGAAATTATGGATTCTACAGGCCACATTCTATAAGACAATTTTTTTTCCGGGTCGATCTGAGACAATTTTTTTGTCGGGCCTCAAAAAGAGGCAGTGTAATAACTTCCTTTTTTATCAAAAATCGACTGCACTAAAATTTCTCGGGAAAACACTTTTTCTTATTAATTTTGGCGCGTAGAATCCAAAACAATTCGTACTTTTTCGATCAGACTTCTCAATCAAAAGTTATAGACTAGAAACCAATTTCGGAAAAAAATTCAAAGGGCTGTAACTTTTGAACTAGTAGCCCAATCTTGGAACTGTTTGAAATTATGGATTCTACAGGCCACATTCTATAAGAAAAAAATTTTTCCGGGTCGATCTGAGACAATTTTTTCTTCGGGGCTCAAAAAAAGGCAGTGTATAACCTTCCTTTTTTACCAAAAATCGACTGCACCAAAATTTCTCGGGAAAACCTTTTTCTTATTAATTTTGGTGCGTAGAATCCAAACCAATTCGTAC